TTGTACATGATAACGCTTATATCAAATTTCCGAAAATTTCTCTTTTCGGTATTTAAGCCTTTTGGGTTCCTATAAAGAGTTGATTAGATTTGGGGTAAATTTGGACAACCGGAAGTGGTACATTAATTGAAGTCCTTAACAGTTTTTAATGAAAACCTATATTAAAGTATAAACCAAAATTTTCCAGTTTAGCATTTAAGACTTCAATGGGAACAACATTAGATTTTAACTAAAATTGAAAAACTGGAAGTAATGTTCTACTTCATGCTCTCAACAGATTTTCGGGAAGCAATATGTTATGATATAATCCAAAATTTATCAAATTTTGAATTTAAAATTCGTATATGCGTATACGATGCATATACAACCATGACTGAGAACAGCATGTCAGATTTTGACTATATCTGATAAATCTTAAGTGGTTTTACTTATAACTGTTAATACATTTGCGTAGAAAAATATAGAATTACTATAAGAAGAGTTTAATCTAAAATGATGCAGCATATATTAAGACCATTTTTATTATATGTAGGCATTGTATTTATTTATATCAAACCGTAGCAAAGAATGCAACTTCTAATGGAGGCATGTTACCAAAAAAATACACTTTTATTATCCTATTGCTTTACCCCCCCCCTACGTACGATAATCACTATTCAACTATAATTCCAAAAACTAACTAGCATTGCTTACTGATACCTAACAACTGTGAGGATATATGTGAAGATCAAAAGGCATTTAAGCTTATTGATATTATGGAAATAATACAGAAAAAAATTAAGTTATGGTATTCGTGTCAAAGTGTTTATTTAAAATGTATTACAGATTATATAATTTATGAATATATAGTTTACAAATATTTTTTAATATTACATTTATTTTCTTTAATTAAAAGCTATTAAATTATTAATTTCTTTAATATTAATATTACATTTATTTTCTTTAATTAAAGCTAATTAAATATTACATTTATTTGTCCTTAATTAAAAGTTAATTAAATTATATGTTATTCAACTGCTGAATAAATACAATTTTTAATACAAAGAAATAAAGAAACAAATATTTGATTATGTTGTTATGGGCTAAACCAGTTTTGATGCATAGGCAATTAAACCTAACAAAATATTTTTAAAAAAATTAAAAGCTTTTAGATTTTATATTACGCTCAAAGGGGAATTTTTTTTTCATTTATGCACACATACATATTTCGAAAGCTGTTTCAAGAGCATTTTGACTAACTAATAAAGCTGTTTCAAGAGCCCCTTAAAATATTTAAAAGCAACGTATCTTTAGAATTTACGACAAAATGTTTCGCACGCTGGAGATAAAAATATTTTATTCCCTACAGCGTTGCGTTGCCACTACTCACTTTGAAATCGCAGAGATTTTTAATCAAAAAAATCCGTTAAAGTTTTGCAAAATATGAAATAGATAATAAAACAAAATCGAAATTCAAGATTCGGGATTCCAGGTGCCATATTCTGGTGGGGGGGGGCTAAGTTATTCAAAATTTAATGACTCTAGGTCCCGCTGTTTTTCAAAGTGAGAGAAGCATACATACATTCATTCAAGATTCTTCATTATTTAATTTCTTTAAATATAATACAGCGTGAGAGTATTTGAGGAAAACAATTTGAAATGCGAAACAGATATTTATAGTCAACCGACGCAAAATGCCGTTTCGAGATTAAAAGCCCTTCCGGGCCTTTGGGCTAAAAATTTCTTATTACAGACCTTTCTGTTTTATATTTTGCATTTTATATATTTTATATTATGTATTTTTATATTTTTATATTTTGTGTTTTTTATTTTATATTTTTAGCAACAAATTATGTTTTGTTTGCAAACTATCTATTGGAAGTGATTCTTTATTTCAAACTCGTTTCTATTTTAAAAATGGAATGTGTGTGCTGGCCACATCAGATTTTTGAACGCTGTACCCTTCGCAAATCTTTAGTCGTAGACATTTACTTTTAACTACAAAACTGCTTTAAATGACGCATATCATGTTTTGCCTTTTTTTAAATTCAAAATAACAGTTTTATAAACATTACGAAGTCTAATTTTTTGTATGCCTTTCGGTACTAACAAAGTACGAAATTTAGGAAAATATTGTATTTATAATCTTATAATAGAAAGGACGAATGTATGAGCCTTAGCCGCAATCACCTGATCAAGTTCACTTTTACAGCCATACACTAACCTTTTTACATTTTTACATTTAATCTTGCCATATTTTTCTTATATTCGCTATACTGTTTACATCTGGAATGTAAACTGACGAAAGTAACCGAATTATTTCTTCGGTTATCTTTAACTGTAAAAACTGTTACTGCTTGGATTTGTAAAAAAGGTTCCGATTTTTTCTTTAACTCTTTTTTGCTCTTCTGGTATGTTTATTCACAAAGTTAATACGGAATGTTACACATGAAAATACTAATTCAGCATCTAAAAAGACTGGAAAATATCAAAATGTTTAGTTTCATTATTTTTAGTTTTGCAGCTGTGGATGTAACGATTCATTAAACAATTTAAAAAGGAAGTCTGTGTTTCAAAATTTTTATTTTGGGAAACAAGTAAGATTTTATTTTTATATATTTAATTTAATTAAGATAATTTATACACTGTGAATTTTAAGATTCCAATAATAAAATTTATAGGATATTATAAACGTTATTATTATGACATAATTTTATGATTTGATTCTGTGACCTGTTTCGATGTTAGTTTTAAGATATTATGAAATGAATGAGTTAAGGCATAAATTGTCTATTTTAGTTATCGTTTACTTTAGTTACTTTTCATTGTTGCTTTAGTTATTAATTATAGCTTTAGAGATGACATCAGCGTTTTTGTTAATATGATCTAGAAAGATGAAGAGGTAAAAATATCCATAAAAAAGAAGGATGGAGAGAAAAAAATATACGGGGCGTAGTACTTGTAGCTGCAGCTAGCAGTATTCCAAGAATAATAATTGCATACTTTCTTATTTAGTAAAACTCGAAACAGGAATGTCAATAATACATTTTATTTTAAAAGGTTTGATTCTTCTGTCCCACCTCCCAATACTAATACATCATAAAAACTATTCCAGAAAGATCATTGGGGATTGAAAACAAAGACGGAACGTAGTGCAAGACACAGGTACATTGGTTTGTAATTTTAATTTAAAGCATTATTCAATTCCTTAAAAAATCGGAGGCTTTCTAGTAGAAAACAAACACAAAATGTCTGAGTCCTGTGCGAAAAAAATTGACCTAGATATTCAATTTCAAAATCTGTTATTTTTGCTGTTTTTTCAGGCTTTTTTCAAGGTTTCTATTAAAAATTAAATTAGAATAATTCAAGGCTGAAATTTTTTAACGTCATATATTGATATTCCTCTATGATTTACCAGCGTTTAATAATCTGTAATTTATAGTTTTGTTGCTTTTTTACTAATTTATAGTTTTGTTACATTTGGTATGCCGAAAGCAATTTTACATAATCAATTTTTAAGTTTTCAGATGCTAAATATTTGTTAATAATATTCACATGAAACCTTTTGCTTTAAGATCATAATTATATAGTTAAATATAAAACTTTTGTTGGACTAGAAATATTTTTCATTTTTAATATACGGAAATAGTGTGAGTAGACTGTACAAATAATACGTATCACGAGTTGATTACGTGCCAATACTTTAAACTTGCTCTTTTTCTAGAGCACGAATTCTATAAGATTCTGTGAATAAGATCGCTTTTTCGAAACAATTTGAGTTCATTAAAGCTTTTATCACGACAGTCCTTAGCAATCAGTGCTAATCATTTAATCTGTTAATATCAAACATTTTTCTAAGCTTATCTTTTAATTTTAATCTTTTAATTTTAAGTTACGTACGGATTCAAATATTTCTCTTTTTAGTTTGTGTACGGCCCCTGAATAGGACTTAAAATTTTTAAATTAAATATCTAGGTCAAATTTTTGTCGTGCAGGAATCAAGTGATATGTATTTTATTTTTTTATGATGAGTATAATCTTTTCCTGAAGTAAGTATAACGGCCAAGAAACCGTATAAAGACTTAAATTTCGTAATTTTCGCAAAATTCATGTTTTGTTTTTAATAATGGTCTAAAAAATAAATAACTTTGCTTTATTTTTTTTTCCTAGTTGGAAGTACAGGATGCGGCAGTAAAACGGACAATTTTGAAACCTCACCAGCGATACGTCACGGTACAAATATCCATCACTTGAAAATGACATCACATAGGTGGCCCCCATTTTCTTTCACACATATTTCAAGTCTTTTACGGAAGTTAGACATCACATCTTGCAGGAATGTTACTGAAATTCGATTAACTTCCTCCCGAATGCCATCCTTCAGTTCCTAGATGGTATGTGGTAGGTCATACCAGAAGATCTCAGATTTCAGATGACCCCAAAGGAAAAATTACAAGCTGAAATGTCGGGGTATCTTGGAGGCCAAGAAATGACCCCGTTCTTGGAGATGAGATGACCAGAAAAGATGTTCTGTAGTGCGTTAACGGAAATCCGCGAGGTATGACGTATAGCCCCGTCTTTTTGGAAGAATGTGTTTGCAGTTACAGAAAGATCAGCAAACTCTGGCACTAGGAAATGGTTCAACATGTGAGCATAACGTTCTGTATTCACAATAACAACTTGGCCTCGATCGTCTTCAAAAAAATAAGACCCGATGATTCCAAATGATGATAGGTCACACCATAAAAACACTTTCTAACTGTGAAGTGGCTTTCTGTGAAGTATTTCAGAATTTTCACGTGACCAGTATCTAAAGTTTTGCTTTTTAACAAAGCTTGACAGATAAACATTGGCCTCATCGTTCATGATCAGATTGCCGCACAGGTTTGGGCAGTCCTTCCTGAGTTCAAACAATTCCTGACAAAAGCGTATCTCTTTGGGAGGTAGTTCGCATTCAGTTTTTGCACTATCTGTATTTTGTATGGGTGGTATTCCAGTTCTTTGTCTCATATTCGTCTTACGCTGCAATCGGTTATGCCAAGTTGCAGGACTTGCTTGCGTGCAAAACGCCTGGGACTTCGGCTGAAGGCTTCTTCCACTTTTGCAACATTCTCTGGTGTGCACAAGCGTTTTGCTCTTCCACCCTTCTTTTTCACCATATCACCGGTTTTTCAAAGTTCTATAACCACAATTTGATAGCCGGCGGGACTAGGGCATGACGTGCGAGATTATAATTAGCATGAAATACGCTGTCGTTGTTTTTGTAAAACGCCTTCACGGCAAAAGCGCGTTGTTTTCCCTGTCCATAACGCCATCTCGACTGAACACCGAAATCAGGGTCAATGGCAAAAGTTTGTAGCCCAGATGGGCATCACTTCCGTTTTCTGATTCCTAACGCAACTTGTTACTTCCAAGGTTTCAAAATAGCCCGTTTCACCACCGCTGTTTCACTCTATACTTGTCTACAACCTGCGGTTGCAAAAGACAAACATTTTTAACAGAAATGATAATTTTTAAGCATTTAGAGCTTTGTTCTGATTCATGAAATATACTTCTAGCAAAATATGTTATGTAATTTTCAATGAATTCTTCTTCCTCCTTTTTAACTTTTTATATCATTAATTAAAAAAAAATATAAACATAAATGTATTAACAGCAAACCTATTTTTTCTCAAGAATGGTTGAAACCAAAGTTAATTAGAATAAACTGAACTCAGGAAACGATTGTAACTTTTGCAGTTTCTTCTGTAGCATACTTTTCCTCCTGTCCTTGGTTCGCTGTGTAAGGTCCATCATTTAAGGAAACCATGATTGAGCGTTTATGCAAGGTGGTGATAAGTGGCATAAGCCGATTTTCGTTGCTAGGTAAACAGATTTCGTTATGTCACAGAAGCAACTGGTATAAGGATTTTGTCTAAATGTGTGGAGTCATTTATATCGATGCTGGAGACGTGAAAAATACGCATTGCCCTCGCCAGGATTCGAACGCCATACCTCCCGAATACGAGTCGAGTATGCTTCCAATTACACCAAGAAAGCATGCGGAAAGGAGGGAGAAATTACCTTATACCATTCACGATTAAGGGGCCCCATCGCCAGTCTGATGATGACGAATAATCGTAAACCATCTTTTAGTTCGGGCGCCATTTGTAGAGTGATTGGGTTACTTTGAATCTGAAGACGTGAAAAATGTGTAATGCCCTCGTCGGGACTCGAACCCTAGACCCCTCGAATACACATCATGTATGCTTCCAACTACACCATGAAGGCATGCGGAAAGGAGGAACAAAATACCTTATATACTATTTGTGGAGTCATTAGCCTATATCAATGTTGGAAGCGGGAAAAATGTCCAGTAATCTCGCCGGGATTCGAACACCGGACCTACCAAATACGCTTCGAGAATGCTTCCAATGACAAGCAAAGGCATGCGAAAGGAAGGAAGAATATAGCTAATTGTTCATTTTTAAACCAACCTGATATAAGATCTTCATTTACAAGGGGAACCGGGTCTTCCACCAGTCTAAACCAACCTGGTATAAAAAACGACCAGTAACAGAAAAAGAAACTCGAAATGACATTTGATCGACAATAATTCGAGGTTGATTTTATCCACTTGATTGCCATTCAATGGTATTCTTTTGTCATTTATACTGTTCCGTAATTTATAATCTTGTTACATTTGATATGCCCAAAAATGCTCACTCAAGTAATTTGTAAGTTTCACAAGTCTAAAAAATTTTATAAGTCTTAATTTATAAGTCCTAAAATACATTATTAATTTTCTCGTGAAATTTTATTACTTCATAATTTGATAATCATACAAGAAATCATAATTTGATAATCATACAAGAATTCATTAAACTACGTTACTTTTTAATTACTACAAATACTAATATCACAGTTTGGCTGCATGTTAATAATGAAGCCTTGCAATGTGTTCTAGAACATGAATTTTATAAAATTCTGTGAATAAGATTTCCATTTTGAAAACACTTGTATTGATCAGTACTTTTCTCAATAACCGGCATCGAAATGCTCGTCACTTAATTTCTTAACATTCCCGGAAACATTTTTTTCTAAATTGAAATTTCTTTTTAGTTACGTATATACTTACAAACATTTCTCTCCTCGGTTTGTGTACAGCCCCTAAATATGATCCTAGGTTTTAATACCAAATTTTAGTTTTTCTAATACAAGAGTTAATTTTTTTTAATTTTGTTAAGATCGGGTAAGAATATTTGTGGACATAATGTACATAAAGCAAAAAAGTTTACATTATGTAGGCAATGCACAGCGTTAGAAATATACTTTATATTAATTATAATAGTACTGAAAATGTTCCCAAAAGTTATGTTAAATTAAAGACCTCTTAAGCTATGTTTATTAGAAAGATCGTTAAAATAAAACTAAACCAGGATCCTCAAGACGATTTGTAATTGCTCACATACAGATTGATAGTCACCAGTGTTTGGCAGCACAGAGAGACTACTAAATTTAGAAAGATTACTAAAACAACTTTAATCTCGATAATCATTGGTGCTTGTCAAATGCCGTTGGTCATCGATGTAGTTTGTATTATAGTAGTATGTAGTAGTAGCATTATATTATCAAGAAGTACGCTTATTTTGCCTTTAAATGCTTATTTATAATTCAACTACAGGTTGATTAAATTTGTAAAATAAACTGAAAATATTCCACTTTTCCGAATGGCAATATTCTGAAAATTGTGCGAAATAATCTAAAGATCTTAAGTTTCACGTAATCACGTCTCGAGTCCCAAAGATGATAAATGCATGACGTCGCAACGTAACTTAAGAAGCGTAAAATTTTGGAAATGCTCTGGTAAGGAAGTTTCCGGTGTCAAAAAATAAATAAGAAAAAAGAAATCTGGCGCCGAGACGTCGTTGTATTTTCTGTTGTAAACACATTGTTACAAATTTAAGTACCTCAATTTCAACTGTTAGAAATAAACGAGTAACGACATTTTGTGAGGACAGAATGAGCAGAAGTTTCAGACTACATAAATTGTAGTCTGTAGTAAATTGCCGATCGAATAAATCGTAAATTTACCCTATTGTTTCAAGTTAGTAACGTAAAACTTCTATAAAGAGTAATTGATTTTTTTTAAAAGTGTCGTTTAATAGCGTAATAAGAAACTCAAATTCGTCGCATTTCAAGAAATCCTCTTTATACACTAGAACTTCGATTCGTTGTCAATTTATTTATACGCTTTGGAGTTAAAATATCTCCTTTTTATATTTTTCGCATCATATTACATTATAATCAATCACATGGCCTGGCAAATCACCTTTCCTTGTAGCTGTTGCCAAATTTGCGGCAAGAAAATTTTTAATTTGTCTTTTCAGGGAAATTAGGAATTCTAATTTATAATTGTATCGCATCATACTTTGTACAGCATAATAATTATAAATTCGAATGGACTGTGATGATAATAATAATAATAAAATTTATTTGTGTTTCTGATTCTGTGACAGGAGTTCTGTGGTTTGCGTTTCCAAACGAATTACCAATTCTAAGATTGCCGCCAAGATTCGAAAAAAGGACTTCTTTATTTATATTTCAAAATATAAAAGCAAACAGGGAAGAGTACGACAAAATGATTTAAATGCAATATATTATATTTCATTTTAGAAAATTTGTTTTCTTGATCTAGTTTACTGTAATGCATCGCTATGATAATTTTATAAACAATTAGACACAAGAATACTTCTTAAAATATCTTTCTAATGCATATACAAGGTGATTGAAAATTCGCTCTCATCAAAGTAAGCAAGTAACATTTTGTCGTTTAATGCTCAAACCATAAAACATAAAATGTACAACCTGCCCACAGAAAGTCCTTACTTTATTTTCACAACCGTTTGTCGTAGACTCGTACAATTTCCAGTAACAAAAAAGTTTTAAATGACCCAAATATACATGTTTTGATATCTTTTAATATAAAAAAATCAGTTCATAAAATTATCGAAGTTTAACTTTTTGTATATTCCTCCAGTCCCTGTACTTATATTTAGAAAAATGCTATATTTATTATGGAAACAAAACACAAGAAGTTAGTGAAGTAACTCATTCGCGAGCTCTTTTTGGCCATGCTTAAGGCATGTTCTTAAAATGGTAAGCACGTGTAGCTACTAATGTTGTTAATTACTATTGTAATGTTCTTCTTCAGATCATCCAGTCTATGCGGATTATTTGTACAGTCCAAGAGTCGTCAAACTTAATGTCAGTTCAATACTGGAATTCAGGAAAATTGAATAGATTCACCAGCAGAAGCAACTGGATATTTATATCATTTTAAAAGAAGCATAACAGTTATTGAATAGAAAAAAATTCAGGTAATTTAACAATGATATCGCATTCTATTATTAATATGGTTAATTAGTGTATAAATAAATAAATAATTCTTTTTCTCTTGCACTGCATATTTCTAATGAAATACAGATTTTAAGTGTTTACTCGATGTACTGCCACTTTTTTCCAGACAGAATACCAGCACTTTCTTCATATTTCGAGTATTTTTTCTGAGATTTTAATTATTGAGTCATTTTAAATGAAGTAAACTGGAAAAGAAAGAAAGCATATCTATATTTACAATAATTAATATAAATACTAAGAAACCATTCTAGTGAAATGAAGAACAGAGATTTGAAAAAACAAAAGTTTTTTTTTTTTTTTTTTTTTTTTTTAGCGTTAACTCTAAAACGAATGAGATGAGAAAAAAGAACGCTTTGAGGAGAAAGTACAATTCGACATACGAATTTTATATAAAATAAACTATTACTTCAGCAAAACTTGTTCTTTAAAAAAAAAAAAAAAAAAAATCCTATATTGCTGATTGAGAATCAACATGGGCAAATACGAGAAACCCTAAATCATTTAATTAATTCTTTGCAAAAAAAATCACCAGATACATTTTGATTCATCAATACACGTTTTAATAACATGCCCATTAATTCCATTCTGTAAGAGTTGCAATATCCCCATGATAAGCAGCAGAAATCAGGAAAATTGAATTCTTAAGAACGATTGAATTCTTAAGAAATTGATTTCTTAAGAACCCGCTTTACCCCTTTCTTTTAAAATAAAACCTCAAGATACTTGGCACAAGGCTGTACTTCATTTTTGTAATGTTTAC